TTTTTTTTTTTTTTTAATGTTCTGGAATAGAATTTAGGAAAAAATAAAATTCAATATCAATGATAAAATAAGAATGTAACTAAACTAAATGAAACTAAAAAAAATTTAATTCAAAAGAATTGCATTAAATCTATATATAAGTATTCCAATTCATGATTATACTTTGTAAACATTATAATATAAATATTTGATCTATATGATCTTTAACCTAAGTCAAATCTATGTTGAAATTAATAATAAATAGAATATATTATTAATGATATCGGAAATTATATAAAATCTAATTCTTGATAAATACATAAAAAGTCAAATTTGACATATACGCATTTTCAACATTACAATTTTTTTCGATACTTTTCATTTAATATAAAATATCTTAATATGTTCATTCAAAAACATTATTGTGCAATTATACAATCTATTTATTTATGAAATTAATCTTCATCATAAACTGTTATATTGCCATTGTATCAAAATGATATTTATGGCAATTTTGTATAAATGTTCATTTCAATATATTGAATTAATCAATAATATTGTTATAATATATTGTTGAAATAATATTGTTATAAATAAGTGTTTATAAGTATCTGTGTATAAATAAGAAAAGATTCTGTTTTTTGAATGAAGTAAGAAATAATTATCTTAATAATTAATTTCTGTAAAATTCTCAATTATTCTTTTTAAATAAAATTATCTTCAAATAATTCTGTTAATAAAGATCATTTTTTATAATGTTATTTATTACAACTGGTTCTTTTCTTGAAAATATAATTTAAAAATTCCGATTTTTTTACGACAATAATAATTTATCTGTTTTAAAACTTCCTAACAATAAGTTTCTCTTTCGTAGAAAAATTACATTCTCCTTTCACAAAATAGGAAACAAAGAACAATAAAAATAATACTTCTTTCAATGAACGAACAAATATCAATAAGCAAAAGTTATTCCTAATAATGATTTAATTTCATTTATTTATTATTCAAAATAAAAAGAAATAAATAAATCCTATTAGTAACATTATATGAATTGAAGTTTAAATTAATACGCAATAAATCTAATATTACAGAAATGAATCTTAATAGTTACCACAGAAAAAAAAGATGTTATATTTTTATAGTGAAATCGAGTAAACAAATAAGTATCAAATAAAATGATAAATATTAAAATAATTTATCTTTCAAATATATTATTATATAAATAATATTGCTTAAGACAAAATAATCTAGAAGACAAAATAATCTAGAAAGTGAAAAATAAAATTATTTGAAACAAAAGTTATTGTTAATATAATAATGTCAATTCTAGTCTGACTAATTCACTTCCAAGAACAAATTACAACATGGTCAAACCAATAAACTATTGTAAAATGCTATAAAAATGCTCTGGTAAGTACACTCTCATTCATAAGTATTGAGATACTTGTTTATTATCGATATAAATTATAAAAAAATTATTGACTCAAATTATATTAATGATTGAAAATTTTTATATTTATGCAAATATATGTTTCAAATAATTTAATATATAAATATTTTATGATTCATGAATAAAGTTTATAAAATTATATGAATTAATAATTAAATATTTATTTTGAACTTATAATCATAAAGAAGTTACTTGATACTTTGAAATCGATTAGCAATTCATAAAATTCATATATAGTTTATTTATATAATTGTTGATATTTTTATTTTACCTATTTAAGATTTAAAAGAAATAATAATTAAGATTTTTATTAAAAATAAATTAAGACAAAAATAATTGTACACAAAGTCAACTAATAACAATTTCATTTTTGTATTTTTGTACCATTTTCTTTATATCAAAATCATACCAATTAAAATTAAAGCCAAGTTTGAATCTAAATCTGAATCAAAATCATCAGTAAATTCATCATTAATTAAATTGATATCGTTATAAAAGTTTTTATATGATTTTTGAATTACGAAAATAGTTACAACATTCGAAAATTCTTGAATGAACTTTCTTAATCTCTAAGATTCAAAATTTTCAACAATATATTGAAATGTATAAATTCAATTGCACATCTCCGCATCTCGGCATTGTTCGCGCCACGAACGCGATAAATTCAGCAAAAGTTCAATCGAGCCGCTGTTGCAATTACTTAATCAGAAGAGATGGTAACATGGAAACGAGTCATGAGTACGCGTGCACTTGCATGTACCAAAGGATAAGGCTCTGAACGAAAGAAACGCGGGTAACTACGACGCGATCAACTGAAAAATTCGATAAGCATTGAAACGACTCGGTATGTTTCTAATACTCTTCTCGATCCGGTCGATGGTTCAGTAGCAGTTCGCGTCTCGTACAGAGTAAACGCTCTTTCCCCTATCTTTTAAATCATCTCGTTTTTTAATTTAAGTTACAGTTAGTTTATAATCAATTCCAATAATGATTCGTCTTCATCAGTAATTAAAGATTAAAGAATTTTTTTATAAATTTTCTTCATCGTTTTCGAATCGATTTTAAGAAAAAATAAAAAATGTTCAGTGTATAATTCAATAAATTTTATTTATTGGAGATTTTTCGTGTCGAATATAAGATTTCGTGACATCTGTTCGAATAAATTATATTAATATTTTATGAATGAATGATTTCCTACTGTTGGTATATTTTGCGAGATTCTTTCGTATGTGAAGAGATTTAGTAAATGTGAGATGATAAATGGTTGAATAAAAGATTTAAGAGGGAAAAAATGGAACAACGAACCGTAACCGTGGAACAACACGTTTTGAATAAGAATCCGAGCGAAAATGTAAAGGATGTGATAAAACAAGGTACTGCTGAATTGAATTAATATCGATATTATTGTTCTTAAAAGAAGATATCGCATTAGATGTTCCTTAAATTTTATGAAAGTGATCATGATAGAGAAAAGAAAATATTATTTCATATTTTTTATTGGGAAGAATCTGTTTGTAAAGAAATATTTATTCTTAAGAGATAGATTAATTAAGATATTATATCATTTAATGAGATATTTAATCTCGATCATTCTCTTATGTTATTGTAAATATAAAATTTTCTTTATGAAGTATATAAGATAATTATATTTTGATAATCTAATACAGATGAATTTAATCAGATACAGTATGATTAAAATGACGAAAAATAAAAATTGTGTTTACAGAGATGGAAAAGCCGAAGAAAAATTTGATGCGTGACATTATCTTCAGTGAATTACAGGAACAAATGCAGGTATGAAAAATCAAATTATTATTTATAATAAATTTTGAATTGCATTAATATCGATATTATTGTTATTTATAACAATAATTTAGAATATTGAATTTTTGAATTTTTTAAATTATTGAATTTTTAAATTCAATCATTCAATCATCTTTGATCTAAAATATAAAATGATTGCTATAAAAGCATTAAAGTATCAATTAGAAACGTTATTCGTTTGAATTGATCGATTATTTGATACTGTAGATCAAATACATGATAAGTAAATATAAAATATTATTATTTTTTTCCACAGGAAATCAGGCAAGACATTTTAGAGCTTGTCAATAACCGAATGAATGATATGGTATCGGAAGTAGCAAACAGAATTGCTTCGAATGAGTTGAAAGATCTGGTTGACTCGGATAAATACTCTAACAGAACGTAATTATATAATCGCTTTTAAACCTTGGTGTTATTCTCATATTATTATCAATTTACACTGTATACTACGCTAATTGTAATTTTTTTACTCTATATTTTTACTATATATAATTTCAAATTTATCTCTCAAAAATATATTCATAATCAAACATAATTTATTTTAAATTTTTTTTTAAATTAATTGAAATAATTTATTTTATTTGATATGAATTCAAATATAATTAAATTCAAAGAGAAAAAGAAATATTGATTCAAAATTCTTGATAAAATATTTACATATTGAATTTTTTAAATGTAAAAAATTAATTTCATATTTCAAAAATAGAATTTTTTTTTTAATTTTAGTTTCATTTAAATATTTAAAATATACAACATTAGTGAGAAAGAGCATTATTCACATAGTGGTAAGAAGGAAGTAATATAATAATTTCTCTGAAAAAAGATAGGTAATAATTTTTACATGAGTAATCCACATGAACGTTTGGCTGTAAAACAAATCTAATTTCAAGATCATTCAGTGCACGAGCACTTAACCGCTTTGACCTGATTGAACAAACATTTACTTTTACCAGTTATGTTTATATACAATATACAATATATATATACAAAAAAAAGTAACATTATACCAAAAATATGAAAAATAATATCGAAGAATAAAAAAAATGAAAAAAAAAACTAACATAGACTAACATTGCCAATATTTAATAATAAATTTTATCTTTCATGATAGAATCATTTATATAAATATATATAATATTATATAAATATTATATAAATATAAATAATCGAATAAAATTTTTAGAATAAAACTAGATATTTAATTGAAAATTTCATGAAGATAAAATAAACATATGTATTCAAACATTTTAAGAAATTTTTAAGTTAATAAAATTGAAAAATTAAAAATATGGTCATATAAAAATATATAAAAATGTAAAAATATAATGAATTTGAAAACTAAAAAAAAAATTTTAAATATTATATTCATAATATGATCAAAATGATCGATAAATAATATACAAAATATTCTCTTAGAAAATTCATATATTAATAAAATATTTAAACGATAAGAGAACTTTCAAATATAGATAAATAGACAAAATTAAGAGATGAAAGATTAAATAAAATTCTTCTACGTTATCATAATTTTTTATCCATATATGTCATCATGAAAAAACGATAAAAAGTGATGTATATATATTGAATTTAGGTGCATGTGTACTGGAATTCTTAAAGCTGTTATTAAGAGTTAATATCGATTTATATTTTTCCTTTCTTTTCGCAATATCTCATTTTGATTTAACATAAATTATTAATTTTGATTATGAATAAAAGTAAATAATATTAATAAAATAAAAAAAGTATATTATCTATACTTATCAAATCTTATTTATATTTTTATTACAAATTACAATAAATTAATTATTTAATTCTTTGACAGAATGAACTAATATTGTTTAATTCTTTCACAGAAAATCAACGAGAGAAAATACTTTGCCCACCAAGCAATTTCTTCAAAGAAATTCTTTATTGACTGATTTGTACGAAATCAAACATATTCGAACACTTTACAATCTCTTCGTAGCAACATTGATAATTCTTTTAATACACACAGCCGTATACGATATTAGACACACGGGCTCGTAAGTACACAAATATTTTATCCTTTGCAATTTATATCATTACTTTCTAAAATTTTACAATTATTTAAAAAATCTAAAATCATTATCTAAAAAATAATAAAAAAAATTATAATATGAAATATTTTAATTGATATTTTAATCGTTATTAAAGAAATTTTTTAACAATCAATTTAAAAAATTTGAAAAATTTAAAATAATGGAAATTAATATAATGTCAATAAAAAAAAAGTTAAAAAAAATTAGAATTTTGGATAGTTTAGAAAAAACTTCGAATTTTGATGAACAATATCTTGAAATAAAATAATAAAAATAATTGATTAATACCAATATAATTTTTTTTAGACCTAATCTTGGTATAGACACAGTACGAGCTGGTTTTGCCAAATTTCCAGTAGTGCTATATGTTTGGTCCCTTATGAAAATTTCAGTTCTGGGAGTTTATGCTGCTTTCTATTGTTGGGCTACTCGTCGTCTTCAGTATTCGCCTAAATGTACGTCAATTTCGATTCATTTCTTTTTGAAGCAAATATGCAATCAAATGCAATTCAAATAAAATTCAAGACATTGATTCTACAGATGCATTTTCAGTGAAACTTCTCGTTCAAGAAACAAGGAATTTTCATTGCTAGTGCCTAAATTTTAAAAATATTTTATAAATTGAAATATTATAATTAAATATCGAAATTACATTTGTTTCTTCATTTTTTATTTTTTATTTTATTTATTTTTTTCTTATTTAATAAATTTAAGAAACTTATTAAAGAGCACTAACTTTTTTCATTGATAAAAACCGTGGTAAAATATTCTGTAATAACTTTTCTAATATGGAACATAAACAAAAAATTCTTCATTATTAATTCAGTGAGAATGTAACTTAATATCTCGTATTCAATTTTGTAGCATTTACCAGAAAAATATGGGATTATGGATGGCTGGCAGGCATTGTTCTTTATCAGACCTTGTTCTTCATACTTCCGACCAGAGCTGTACTCGATAATGACTTGCCATTGGCGTCTAGCATGATTATTCTTATGGAACAAGTAAATGTTTTAATGTTTAATATGTATTCAATAATATCTATTAATTTATTTAGACTTATTCTTGCCATTTGAGCAAAAATTTAATTTTACTTATCATTAGAAATTCTTGTTGATCTGATTTTTTAAGTACTTTTCTTTTAAATCATACACTAAACAAAATAAATAGAAGATCTAATATTTGAACAGTTGATTAAGAAGCTGATTAAAAATGAACTTTCTATTTTAATTCATTATATTTTAAAAAAAATAAATAAAAATTCTCTTCATTGAATGAGGATCATTATTATATTATTGAAAGTTTTAGTTAAAAAGTTCTACTAACTTTATTAATTATACTGAAAACTGATACAATAAAAAAAATTAACAATTTAAATTTGAAACTTTTTCAACTTTTAAACTATTTCATTTTGATTTATATCCAAGAAATCTTCTTTCATAAAGTAAGATTAAATTATAAAAATTTTTTCATCATTAGATGCAAACTTCACGAAAAACTTTGAATAATTAATTTTAACAACATAAATTAAAAACAAAAAATGTTTTTTTTTTACATTTATTAGATTCGATTAGTGATGAAAACTCATGCCTTCGTGAGGAGTGTTGCACCAAGATTTTTATCATACAAACCTCATACAGATACATCAATACCACAGCTACCTGATTTTTCTCAATATCTTTATTTCCTGTTTGTGCCAACGCTGATTTATCAAGACAGATATCCTAGGTAAGTTCAAAAATATAATATTATTATTAAGTAACTATTAGAATTCATAATTAAATTAAATTAAAAAATCGTTTAGAAAAATGATATATATTATATTTCATAAAATTTATAATGAAATATATATTTTTTTTGAATACTCATTCAATTAAAATTAAAAAAAAAAAATAATAATCTTCTTAAAACAAAATGGTCTATAACAAATATTTCTTTTTCCTTCTATAAGAACAAAATATTTCAATAAACATATACTCAAATAAAATAATTTTTTAATTCTTTTCTTTTAAAATAATAAATTAAATCAAGACACAAATAATGATAAAAAAATTCGAGTTATTCAAGTTTATTATTAGAAAGGATTTATTATCATTAAACGTTTTTCTCCTGTTTAAATATCAAAACAAGTGATACATATGTACTATATTGATAACTATTATCATCACGTTATCAATATTTCAAACATGTGATAATTGATGATTTTAATAAGTAACAAGAGATGTACCTTATTACTTTCATTATGTATGAATTTTCTTTTAAGATAAAAATTCAAAATATTAAGATATTTCATAATAATAATGTTGAAAAAAATATATTAAACATGTTTTAATTACATATTTACTTTATGATATTAAATTATGTTAGAAATATCATTATTACTAATTAAAAAATTTTTAAAATTGATAAAATATATATTATATTTAAAATTTCTTTTTTGAAATTTTGAAAAGAAATTAATATTTTTGTGTTGTCATTTTCAAAGTAAAAATACTGTAATAATAATTTTGAAATTCAACCAAAAAATAAATTATAAATAATTATTTGTATTGTTTAGAGCGAAAAAGATTCGATGGAATATTGTCCTGACTAATTTCGTTGAAGTATTAACAATTATCTTTTTCGTGGCGCTTCTCTACGAACGTTTGTTATATCCAAATTATCGAGAATTTGGAAAACAACCGGTTGAGTTGGGAACACTCACACTTAATATTCTTGGCTCGATGTTGCCCGGAATTCTTATGTTTCTCTGCGGCTTTTATCTTCTTCTACACTGTTGGATGAATGCTTTCGCTGAACTATTGCGATTTGCCGACAAAATGTTTTATAAAGTAAGTAAGTTTGAGTTTAATTTAAACAATTTATTTTAATTTTGAAATATTTTTCTATTAAAATCTAAAATTTCATTCATGATTTTTTTTATTTTTAATTTAATTTTTTATATATATGCAATTAATTAAAAAAAATATTTTATTCAATGTTTTATATAAAATAAAAAATATTTATAAGTTTAAGCCAAAAAAATTGATTAATTTCAATTTTATAGATAGAAATATAGAAATTTTCAATATAAACTTTATATCAAAATTTTTCTCTATTCAAAATTATATAAATAAATCGCTTAAATTTTCTTAATAAATTATATACATGTTAATCTATCTATACTCTGCACTCAAAATCAAATATTTATCCATTTAAATCCACATCATATCTATTATCTCATAAATATTAATAGTATCAACATTCTATATAATCAAAATCTTATAATCCATTTTCATATATCATATCTATAAAATTATCTCGTCACATATATATTCTGCAAAAATCATTGAATCCTTGAAATTCCATTCTCAAAACGCTTCTAAAATCTCATAAAAGAAATTTTTCAAGAGCTGAGTCATCCAAATTACAATACATCGAATCATTAATCCAAGTTTATAGTTACGTATTTCATCATAGTTTCTTTCAATTTATCACAACTTTCTTTCCATTCCATGAAATCTTTATTGATTCAAGGACTTTATGTTCATAATGATCAAACCTGAACATTGAAATAAAATTCTTTAAAATATTAAACATTTAATGAATTATCATTTAATTAATAATTAAATAAAATAAAACTCAAATTCGACAGTGACAAAACATCAAAAAAATCATATATTTATATCATATATTTACAGGATTGGTGGAACTCCATCTGCTATAGCGCCTATTATCGTACCTGGAACATCGTCGTCCACGATTGGTTGTACACTTACATCTACAAGGATATGTACGAGATCTTGACACCTAGGAACAAGACACTATCCGTGTGCATGGTTTTCGCCATCTCGTCCATCATACACGAGTACATCCTCAGCTTCTCTATTCGTTTCTTTTATCCCGTATTATTGTTATTGTTCGGTGTTGTTGGTCTCACGGTGGTATTCGTATTAAAATCAGCCGGAAACGTGTTCCTCTGGTTCAGCCTGAGTGTCGGCAATGGAGTATTGGTCAGCTTGTATTGCATGGAGTATTTCGCCAGAATTAATTGTCCATCGACTCGTGATGATTTCTGGGATCTCATGATTCCGAGAACTTGGACATGTATCTTTAAATGAGAAAGATTGAAAGCTAACTTGTGTAAGCATTAATAAACTGCAGAAGTAAGGCTTAATACTTCAAGATCGTTTAAATTTAAATTATCTTTATTGATGAATGATTTGAGAAGTATTCACTGTATGAAATCTAAAGGAAAAAAAAAAAAGAGAAATTAGCATGGAGGTTTAAAGACTGGAATAATCCTTGCGACTTAGTTTTAATCTAATAGATAAATAAGGAAATTAATAGATGAGGAATTTTAAAGATTTCGAATAGAGAAGGATACTCTTTGCTTGTAAAAAAAATATAAAAATGTATAAATTAAAAATTACGGATTATCTGAGATAAAAGCGAGAAATAATAAATTGTGAATGAAATTTAAATGCCTTGAAAAATAAGATAATTATACAATTTTGTTAATTAGTTTTACAAAAACTGATTTAATTTAAAAAAACTTATCGATAAAAACTAAAAAATTACTAATAGAAAAAATATTACAAAAATAAATGAAAAATAATATAAATTAGTGATAAGAAATATCAATTTTTTATGTTAGGTATCAATGTATAGTTGCGTGAAATAGTAAAATAAACAATTATTATTTCTTTTCCCATTTGTATTTACTCTTCTCTCTTTTTCCTTCTTTTTCTTTTTTAGTAACTTATAATTAAGTTAGATTCGAAGAACGCGGATGACAATTTTCAAAAAGACATGGTCTTTATTATCAAGGCTTACATACCGTGTCTCGAGGATTCAGCATTCGTATTCGAAGACACTCGTTTCGTCCATAAAGATCATTATATACTTTATAATTATATGTATATATCTTTTTTCTTTTTCTCTATACAGGTCGATGCTTAAATGTACATACACGCGCTAATACAGTTACATTTATACACAGGTTCCTTCACAGATTTGTATTTTCCTTCTATTTTTCTCTTATATATATACGTATCATACAGAAATAAACATATATTATTACATTCCATAAAATTCTCAAAAGTTTTAGAAGACATTTTCGCAGTGCATTTATAACATTATATCTGAGATTTTATATTATATTAACGTTTTCAATTTTATAACATTAATTCATAATTTTTAGGAAAGTGAAAACGTTGTGATTTATAAATCGGAAAAAGTTTAATAACCAGATGAAAAATATTTAGGAAGAAAGTAATAATAATACAATATTTAATACTTTGCTTGACGTTTCTATCGAAAATCGAGGAAACGTATGACAAAAAGATTTCAATCGTTCAAAGTTCAGATGTTATTTTATAATGTTATAATTTTTATTTACACATATTTACCTTTCTTTTTCGTTTTCTTCACAACCGACGCACAGTCTAACAGATCTTAGTATAAAATATTTATATTTAAAGAATCTCAAAAAAATCTTCAATTCAAGAGAAAAACAAATCTAACATAAAAGATTAAAAATGTTCTTTTTAATAAAGAAAACAAAATGCATTCTTTGTTCAAATAAATAATTATAAAAAATAATCAAAGAATCACTAATTACCATCTCTCTTTCATTTCTCATTCGCTTCCTTTTTTTTTACATTTCGTTCGAGTCGATTCGTTCAATTAATTTCAATATTCATCGCATATTTGTATATTTTCTTTTTCTCTTATTACAGCACCGTTTACATCAATGTAAACGCGTTTTAGTTTTTTATGTACACCATCGTGAGTATTGAAAAAATAAACCATATTTTTCTCTCGGGAGCACCGGACAATTACTTCCTGAAGAAAAATTTTTTTTTCATCCTCGTCATATTTCTTCCTTTTCCTTTTGTCTTTTTTTTTTTGTTATCAAAGTATT